TGGAGCAATGTCTGTAGGTCAGTTTGGGTAAGTTATATAGGTCAGATGTTGTAGTGTATGTAGGTCAGATGGAGTAATGTATAGAGGTCAGATGGAGCAATGTCTGTAGGTCAGTTTGGGTAAGTTATATAGGTCAGATGTTGAAGTATATGTAGGTCAGATGTAGTAGTGTATAGAGGTCAGATGTTGTAGTGTATGTAGGTCAGATGCAGTAAGTTATATAGGTCAGATGTTTAAGTGTTACTTAGGTCAGATGTTGTAGTATATATAGGTCATATGGATTTATGTATGGAGGTCAGATGGAGCAATAGTTTAAGGTGTTGTAATTTTATCACAGAGAATTTAATGTTACATCCTGTATTGGTGCTAAATACATATTTGGAATATTTATTGTAGATGTCTTATGGGCTGTTTTATTACAGTTGAACATGATGTGACCTTGACATTTGACCTTTTACATAAACCCTAATTTTTTATTTATGCCAGTATAACTTTTAATAGAATTGTTCAAGTAGAATATTTAGGATATTTCTTGTTTTACACCTAAATGTCAAACAATGTTATAATTAAGGGCTTTTATTTTGTTAACCCACAAAAGAATTTTTAGGTTTATGCTGGTCTAGAATTCAAACTTAGTTAAGGTATTTATTTTGCTAGAGATATTATTTTACTTTTTAGGGACATTTTGTTTTAGACAAAAGTAGTTTTTTTTTAATAAAAAGAAAAGAAATGTTAATTTAAATCAAGGGATGTTGAAATACTGGGATAAAGACTTAGCTTATTTGATGAATACATAGACTTATTTTCAAATTAAAATTATATGGTAAAAACTACATTCATTTTCATTGATCTTGTGGAACTAAATTAATTATTAATTTTGTTATAATCGTTAATAATAGACTGCAGCCTGTGTAATTTCCAGCCTAATTTAAGAAAGGACTTGTGTGTTATAATTCTTGTTTTGATTGATCAATATAAGGTCAATTATCACACCAGTTTGTATTCTCTCTCTCTGCCTCAGTGTGAACTGTTATAATTTTTGTCTTTGTAATAGAAATGATTATTAGCTATTCATTTAGCTATCACAATTAAAAGAAATAAACATGAAATGTGTTGTTGTTTATAATTTCATATATACATATCACATAGATGCCTCTATATGTAGATATTAAAACCTCTTGCCCCTCACCGCTCTGGGTTCGAATCCCGACAGGGACTTTGGAATTTTTTCATGTGAGGAAGCTATCCAGCTAGCTTACGGAACGTCGGTGGTTCTACTCAGGTGCCCGTTTGTGCCTGAAATAATGCACGGAAGGGCACCTGAGGTCTTCCTCCACCAGTAATGCTTGAACGATGCCAAATGACCTATTCTGAGTCGGTGTGACATAAAACCAAAAACTAACTAACAAAATGTAGATTTTATTTGCTGATCTGAGAAAAAGGAAAATATATGAAATTAGTTGTGCTGCAGTGAGGTTTTCACTCTTATTATGCTAAATATCTTAAATTGACTTGTCCATCTTTCAATCTGGACAAAACCATACATCATATTTAAGGGAAAAATTTCAAAATATTTTACTGACTGAATAGTGATCTGTATACTGTAGACCATGATCAGATGGTATAGACGTGGTGACTGATCTTGGTCTCAGTACTGGTTACATGGGTAAAATCTGTTGCTGTTAGCTGCTAGTCAAGTTAAGTGGTTGTCTCTCAACTGCTGTCCAGAATTGCTTGCCTAAATCAATGCAGCTTTATTTTGTATTTAACTTGAATCCGACATTAACAACCATTTAATGGCCTGATCCAATCATGTCTTCCCCGAGTTATGGGAAGTAGGTCTGCACTATAGTAGATTTAACTTAAGAGCAAATTTTGGCTGTCCTACTTGCCCTTACATCTGTATAATGCTTGGTGAACCTTCATAGTTCATTAGGTATTGATGGCATACACTATTTTAACCACAGTTGAATTCTTTATTGATTTTGCGAGACAATGAGAGGTCCCAGATTTTTGACCTCTTGATGTATTTGGTCATACACAGGCTAAAAGTGAAACTGAGATAATTTTGCTTCTCAACTTAAAAATTATACAAAAAACCCCAATGTATCAAGAAAGGGGGCGAAGATCTGTACATTTCTACTGATACAGACTGGAATTGTCAAGGACAAAAGAACATACTATTTATTGTAATAGCAAGCTTTATTAATATTAAATAGAATGTCTTATCTGTTTATAACATAAATATTCTGCATTTATATATACACAAGTTCACAAAACAAGACATGATAAATTGCTATTTAAACATACATTCATTTATATATAAAACAGACACAACATATTTGATATATTTATAAAACTTTGTTCATTTATATATGTGCACATTTCTCCTGTCATTATAAACATATATCACCAAATATTTCATATTTACTACATTGTGTTTTATAAGCTAGGGGGGAAAAAGTAGGAAAAACTTATACACTGCCACAAAGGTTAATTATATATATGACAATCAACAAAAATTCTGTAAACATTTTGTTATAATAACTTCTGCTTTATTTAATGTCAATGTACACAATACATGTATAGAAGTACAAGAAAAACAATCATAAATTATATTTAAGGTGTTGACATGGTGAGTTTATGGTAATACTGCTGCAAGTAAGTTACCTTGACAACATTGCTGTTACTAAGTTACCTTGACAACATTGCTGTTACTAAGTTACCTTGACAACATTGCTGTAACTTAGTTATCTTGACAACATTACTGTAACATAGTTACGTTCACAATATTGCTATAATTAAGCTAACTTGACAACATTGCTGTAACTAATTTACCTTTACAACACTACTGTTATCTTACCTGTACCTTAGTTACTTTGACAACATTACTGTCACTTAAAGTTACGGTACCTTGACAGCATTGTTGTATCTATGTTACCTTGACAACATTGCTGTGATTAAGCTACCTTGACAACATTGCTGTAACTTAATTACTTTGACAACATTGTTCTTACTTGGTTACCTTGACAACATATTGAAATAGAGTGATGCCACGAGATAAATTTGACTGACTGTAAAATGAACATTTAAGTCAACCTGAGACAGTGTTGCAAAAACTGAATATGTTTAGGTGTTGCTGATTTTTTTGTCCACATAATAGAGCAACTTCTGAGTAAGAACAAATCAGGGAATATCTCAAATCATTTAATGATAAAGTATTAGCACATGCTTAAAGATTGAAACAAAATATCTTCAAACTGATTTTGTTCAAATTCAAAATACAATTAACTTGTGGACTGTTAATACTTTGTAAACCACAAAATCAACTATTTGTAATTTACAATTCAGTGAAAAACATCATACATAACATTACAGCACATTTATAACAACAATAACAACCTGAGAGAATCAATCAAGCCAAAGTAATAATATATAGGTGGGATGTAAGAGTTCTAAAGCATGAGAACGTGAGAAACTGTCAAAATTCAATTGTATAAATCAGTATATAAATCCTTAAAAAAACTTCCTTAATACAATAAACATAAAAATACATATTTATGGTTCATTGTATACAAAAAAAGTCTGAATAGGTGAACTGTTGATAAGCAAGCAAATTATTAATGGAGAGGAAGTTTTAAAGGTATCTATATACACAATGTTAGAGGAAACAGGCATTATGATGTATACACATTGCACATTGCCTCTATGACTTCATGTGACACAAAAAATTTACCAAAATCTTTAACATGCATTATAAAAACTTGTTTGCATGGAACGCACAATGTACACTCAAAACTGTACAACACACATCATTTGACAACAACAACAATGGAGACAGTACTGTCAAAAGTCAAAGAAGCTAATGTCAAGGTCGGGAATATATAGTTATCACAATACACTTGATAGAGCCATTTTATATCATAAACAAAAATATATGCCATATGCTACATTTACTGTACACACATGAGTTTTAGTTATTTCTATTCCGTGTGGTCAGATTATAATTTAGTACCAGCTAAATATTAAAGTACTGTATAAATAGCTTGATAAAAATATTCTAAAGTAAAAATTATGATTACTTAGGATAGGATAGATTATATAATCAATATTATCAAATCATCCATTCAAAATTAATATATTATGTAATTTCATAATTTTACACACACATTTACTATACACAAAGCATATGTCAGCATAGACAAGCATAAATCAAAACACAGTGTAAATATATATAATCTTACAACAGTAGTATACAAACTTCAAATAATTCAAAAATGCTTAAAATTTAATAATGTCTCATGACTTTGATGAAACTAGTAGTACAACTTTTACCTTATAATACAGAGATTTATGTAGTTATTTAATACATCTTTCCGACATGATTATTTTTGCTGACTTGTGACGATTCATATTCTAGTATCATTCGTTCAGTTCCTTATTTAGGTTTATAATTTAAACAAATAAGAGTTTGTTAGAGTTTCAGTTAGATTGTGTTGGAAGCTATAAGCTTATTGAAACACTCATGAATCCGTTCCTGCAACCAACAAGTTCTAAGCAATTAATGTGAAGTTTCTTGCTCAAGGAAACAGACGGCTTGCCTGAACCAAGCGAGTTTGAAAACCCCGGGTGACCAGAGTCTTTGATTACCAAGAGTCTCTGATGCCGTTTAAACAATCTCAGCCACTGACGGTCCGAGCTCATTTATTGCTGTTTACAGTGTGGCTAGCATATGGTAAGATTCTATACTGTCAGTCATCACTTACAGTTAGTGAAGTCATTTTTTAAGTTTTGATCATTAAATCCCTGAAGTTTATAAAAAACAGCTAAATTTTTATTTTTTTTTCAAAATTGAAGAACTCATTAACACAAATGGTGGACTTGAAGCTTGAAATTTCAAGACTGGAGAGCTCCACTACATAAATTGTTGCTTGGAAGTTTGATGGCTACTGAAAGAGATTGCAAACAGAACAAATACATTTCTAATATGTGGTGGCAAATTTTCTTTTAAAATATCATATAATTTATAAAAATACATAAAACACATACTGTAACTTACAGCTGAACTAAAGACTTGTACATATAGCCTCATGTATAGACATATAAAAAATGTAAAACTGAATTGATTTTCTCTGTTACATAAAATTGCACTAAAGTCTACCAATATTATAATTTATATATCAAATATTACATTTATAATGACAGTAAATATGATACTGGAATGTTAGAATGATCAAACATGACCCTATATTTAATATAATAGGTTGCTAGGCTACAGTCATTTAAAAAACATTGAAAATTCATTATTGTACTTAATCAGAATGTTTTTGCATTTTTTTTATAAAGTAATTTTTTTACAACAGGTTTTAAGTCTAAATCTTTTATTTCATCAACATCACATCACATTTTTCAATATCAATTATTCAAAATGTTGTAACGTCACCTTAGAGTCAATATGACTTCTTATTATATATATCATGTGACCATATATTGACCAATGAGATGTACATACAGCATCAGATAGAATTATAGTTCTGATGCATGTAGGATTATAAAAACTAGTTAACAAAATAGTAAAACAACAGTCACTAACCATTCTACAATCTATATAACAGTTGCATAGTAACACAGTATTTTTAAATGTAGTTTCAATTATCAAATATAAACTACTAATTTATTCAATATATTTTCATTGTCTCTACTAATGTATTGCTATATCCTATGATAATTTGATATGCTAATATTTCATAACTAGTCCAATTGGTCTAGAATCTAAAATTCTATTTTTGTTCCATTCATCACTGTATATTATTGCCAGTAAAAACTGTCACTTCCATCTGTATCTATGTATGTATATATGTATATATCTGTTTCGTCTATGTAGGAAATCCAGCCGGGTTCTGAATAACAAGAGTTGCCGTCTGCCATATTGCTTATCATCACACTTTGCTAAATTTTAAACCAGCTGAAAAAATAAATGAATAAATTTTGTCTTTAAATAATCAAATCTTTCAAAGTTAAATTGCTTCTTTAATACTTACTTAATGTAATGGATATCGGATGCTCAAAGAAATATTAAAAGTTAATCACATAGGATCAATTTTGTTTAAAAAATTATTTGAAATTTTTACTTTAACAAATTTTTCCTTCAAACAAAAGGCTTTTACTTTATTGCAAAGAAAAGAAATTGCATATTTAATAGATTATAGTTAATAATATGGTAATATATCTAGCATAACTTAGCACCCAAACACCAACAAAATTATATAATATGATTACATAAATATATATATATCTATAATGTTTTTTTCCAAAAATAAAAAAAACATTGTCCAAATCTAAAAAAAAATTCAACAATGAAAATCAAACCATGCCATCCATTCCTAATGTAAGGTAAACTGAGAGCTGTACACATGTGGTAAGTTGAATCAAAGATAAAACTGAACATAGAAATGTCGTACATGTATGTATGTCTATATCAATACAAACAAGCCCAATAAAACTACTGGAAGTTCTGTGAGCAGATTTTAACGACTAAGTCCAATGAGTCATATCCTCTATTCATTATCAAGTTAAAGTAAATTATTTACAACTACAGCAAAACTTGCTGATTATTTTGTCAGAACTAATATAGTCTGAGTCTGTCCCAGTTTTATCATTCCAAAAACAGAAACCATTTTCTTCATTGTCACCTGCTGGTGTATATACATTATACCAAACATGTTTAAAATATGTCTGTAACCAACACTTGGTAACTTTCACGAAGCCAACACATATTGTGTAATAATTTTATACAGCATCAATGAATAAAATTAAGGTCATATTTTAAAAGTGTCATGGACTTTCTAAATAACAAATGGTTGTCAAGGCATTTCAAGCATCTACATGAAACCTTGCAATAAAACTAAGAACCTGTCCTTCACGGAAAGTTTTAGGGTACTAGAGTAGAAATGTCATATTCAGACATGGTTACTGCAGAAAAACCCAATCGGACATTCTAGACTCTCAATTTGTTGTATTTTTTCATTGATTGTATCTCATAATCCTTGTATCAAAATCTATTTTGGTGACTTTTAATAAATAAAATAATTATAAGGATACATTTGAAATGATAAGGTACATGAAAAAGGGAGAGAAAACCCGACACAATTTTCCGAGAGAATAAAAACAGGATTTAGATAAATAAAATGAACTTGTCATAAATGAAGGGAGATAAATGGTAATTCAAAGTTATTGAGAAATCACTCCAGAGTATCCTCCCTTATAAAAGACTAATTAAACATACTTGGGAGTGACACTTAGTATGGGTCTACTTTATATATTAAAATGAGCAACTATTATTAAATCTTTGTCTCATCTGAAACTAACATATTTTATTTACTATTAATATACTTGAATTAGGTAATAAATTGTTCAAACAAAGATCATCTTATGGGAAATGTTACAACTACACAGCATCACTCATGCAAACAATCTTCCAGTTGTATAACTTTCTTATCTTTGTTAGTTACATGTAATATTATCAAAAAATATCCCATGCAAAAATACTTTAAAAATCTATGAAATGATTATAAAAAGAATCATGAGTGATAGTATTAATTATTCTTATAAATAATGCTATAATCAACCTCTAAACCATAAAATAATAGATTACTTAAGTAATAACACCATTTCCTTATCATAAGAATTTTTACAGGTATCAAATCAAAGTAAACTTCAGTAAACTTAAAAAAAACAACATGCTAGTCAAACCATTCTACAGACTTTCAGACTGGTTACCTATACATTGGAAACAAGTGGCATGGCTTGAATTATGTCGCATGTTAGAATACTCCCCAGTATTCTAGAACACTACCTTCATCATTACTGTAACAATTTCTACAATGTAACTTGTTGACTCGCACTCTAACGTCCGTACCCTCGGATCCGTTACCTAGTGGCATACGACATACACAGCAACGGAAACACTGTACATGATAGTACAGACCGAGGGACTCTATCACCATAGCTGCGCCAAAGCCTGTCAAACAGAATCAAAGCTTGGTTAGCGATAACTCATGCTATATTTAACAATGATGAGAACCTTCTTGTGCTACAAGGTGGATAATGAGCCAGCAGTGAAAACAAAATCATTTCCCAGAAAATTCAGATCATATAAAAGCATTTTACTCCATTGTTGTTAGAAAATCAATGGCATTCATGTGATTTTTTAAACAACAGTGATGTTGTTATGAAGCTATAACATGGTAAAATACATTTAGTGTTACAGCTTAGTAATTACTAACAACATGTAAGTGATTGTAAGTGATTTTCTTGTGTGTCTTCACTTCTTTTTTTTTTGCTACACAACATTTGTGTACTACATAATATCAGCTGATGGCTCACAATGTACCTCAAGCATAAATTGTCATCTAATATAAAATGCTTCTAACATTCTTAAATAAAAACAACCCTGTCCAAAATGAAAAAAAAAGCAAAATTAGTTTGACTATGATTATATATATCAAAGCAGGATACCTGTATCATGCAATATAGCTGAGACTTTGCAAATAAATGAACTCTTTATGCCTGATGACACCATGTAATTGATGCTGTTTTTGACCTTTAAGTTGATAATATTATGTGTAACCTGGAGTTACCTACATGCATGTCATAGCTGTTTTACCTTGAACTTTATATGTGTAACCCTGATTTACATACATGCCTGAGGGCAACATGTCATAGCTATTTTTAACCTTGTGTAACCTTAGTTACAAACATGCCGATTGGGTCAAGCAAATTGAAAGTGACCAATTTGTATATCAAACTGATGCAGATTCACCTGAACAACCACTGGAGATTGTTTCAACATAAAAGCAAGCATGTAATCAACAAAATAGTTTACCTATCCTAATACCCTATAAAGGATATACTAAATAAATCTGAGGTCACTCAATCAAAGTTACAAATATAGCATGATGAAATTATTATCTAGCTCCTGGGTATAGGTATATAAACAACATCCACACAGTTTTGTAGCAAACTCTTCTTAAATGAGACCTTCAACTAATCCCCTCAAAAAGGGAGGAATTTTTTCATGCTGACCTAATTTATTATATAATTAATATATTTTTTCGGCCCATTCTAAGTTAAAGCTACAAACCTATCTAGATTTTGTTGTTTGTTATAGTCATGATATAGATACCATTATAATTTCAGTTACGGGTGTTTATAGACTACCTGTATGTATAAATATGTAAATACACTAGGTACACAACATGGTTACCATAGTAACACATCAACTACCTTCTAGAAAATCACACTGAATGTGATTTAAGTTTTCAACTGTCAAAATTAAAATATATACATTCTGCATGTGACTGACATTGCCATACTTCAGAAACATTTAACTGATATATTTAATACAAAATAAATATATTTACTGTACACGTTTTATGGTTTTTTATCACTGAAGAGTGCTTTCTTTTACATTTATTAAGTCATATGCTTAAGTACGTATCAGTGAACGTCTGACTCCATGCCATGTCTTTGATTATAACAAAGAATTCAATGGAATTTATTCTCAAATCAGTATATAAGAAATTGATACAATCACTCTAAGTACGTAAGATATATAAAAGATCAATGATATCTTACAACAAAGTGGATTATTAAATCAGAATAACCAGCAACAAAAGCTGACCTTTTGACCTTGATTCAACAGCTTTTATCACCAAACTAGATATTTGTCACTTTGATAACTAAATGAACATAAAGAACAAGTAACATCAGTGTTACTATAAACTATTAAAGTATAAAACATATTACATACCCAGCTCCTCTCCACAATGAGAACACTTTTGTTTCCCGCTCACAGCTATCACTGGTCCTGAATCATCTGTTAATGATCTAGGAGGTTTTGTTGGCATGCTGTCTTGATTCCGAACATTTGCATTAAAACTAAAGTTTGGTGGTAAAGTTTGTGATAATGATGGGTTACTGGCAAAAGTATTAGGTGAAGTCTTTGCACTAAATTGTGTAACAGTTTGTTCTGGAGTGCGGTTATACTGGTTAGATCCTGATAGAGGTCTAGATGTCGGTGAAAGATGAGACTCCGTACTATAAGATGAAGGGTAAGAATATCTGTTATTCCTTGGTGGGGGTTCTATATCCCCCCGAAATCTGCTAACTAGAGAACTTTGACTGGGTTTTGTTGGCCCTGCACGAGCAGTGACACTTTCTGTATTTGCGTAATCTGATTTTTCAGCAAGTCTACGTTTTTCAGCCTCGCGCACCACCCAGTGATCTGATGGATTTGAATAGTCTCTTTGATGAATAAGATCTGATCTGTTTCCTATCACAAATGGCTTTTCATTTTGCGTATTGTTTTCAGCATCCTTAATCCAAGCAGCTGAACTGTGGAATTTTGGTTTTGGCACAGCATTTAGAGAATGCAATTCTCCTTTTGACGGGGCTTCTCGATGAGTAGGAGACAAAGCACTATCCTGTGGATCCCCTGTCGTCTCCAGAGATGGATCAGGACGAGCTAAAGGAGTTGCTTTGCGATTCATTGCTAACAAATCTTCCCGAGTTAGTCTGCCTTTCGCGGAACCTCGTTCAGGTTTAGGAGCGGTCGGAGGTGGAGCTTTTTTCATATCACGATGTTTTGGGTCTAACGCAGGTGGTGGTGACCTGGGAGACTGTGATAACGATGATCCTGAACTTCCTGCTGATGAACGTGAATAATGATTGACAGGCTGGTAACGAGAAGAATATGCTTCTTCTTGTCTCACCTTCTGTTCTAATAGAGCTTTCTCTTTCTCTACTAATTCTTGTTCTCGATGCAGGCGCTCCCTTTCTCGTTCGATTGATTCCTGAAATATATCATCAAAAACCTGACAATGATAAAATTATTAAGAGCCTATAATGCATAAAACCTTATTTTGCAATTGACAAGAAATTTAATAATAGATCTACAGTTCTATACATGTCTAAAGTTTGTATGATTCAGTGAAAAGATTGCCATAATATTTTAGTCATAAGTTGGCAGGAAGTTATTCTTGCCAATGTTTAAAAGATTCTTTAAAGGAATAATGTGCCTGTTGAAACATTGAATCCTACATTACATATCTTGCCACTTTAAGACCTTGTATCTAAAACAGAATACAATCAACCGTTTTATTGCCTGACACAACAATACCTGTTGTTCCCTCAATTCTCGTTCTTTTTCCTCTTTCCATCTTTGCTGTTCCTCCTCAAACTTTCTTTTTTCTTCCTCTCGGATTTTCTCTCTTTCTCTGGCTAGAATCTCTTCAGGATTCATTTCTGTAAGATATCAGTGTTACATACATCATAATATGAAAACAAAAAAATCTGTGTAAACCAACAAAAATATCAAATAAATGCATTACTGGAGTAAATACATGGTATATATGGAAAGAAGTTGACCAAATTAAATTGAAGACATGGCTTTAGCTTTGAAAAGATTCTCAAAGGCACACATAGTAACTTTTATACATTGCACAATAAAATTTCAAAGGTTTTTCATTTCCTTTCCATTGAGGTATATTAGACTATGCCACATGACCTTGACAATGTGTTAATTCAACAACCAAAGCTAATGAATTAAATGATTTAAAAATTTCTTGGCTTAATTTTTCACTTTCCTTGCACTTCCCCCGAAATTAATAACTATTCAAGGGCAACCAAAATGAACAGTAAATTTTGATAACCATACCTGGCTGATTAAAGGTGCGTAGTGGTGGTGCAGAATCGGTTTTTGGTAGATCTACTCTAAAACTGTACTCTGGTAGCATTTTATTACTGTAATAATCATGTCAACATTTGAATTATTTCATAATTATCAAAACATCCATGCAACTGATACAATAATTATGATGAACATATTTATGCTATGTTAAAACTTTGCCTGTTTATGTGTTGACAGATTGAGTAACAAATCATGTAGCTTCTACATTAGTAATTTGTTCACTGTATTCTATGCGCTATTTAAAATAGAAAGCTATAAGAATATAATGACCAAATGCAAGGTTGGTATGTTGGTATTCAGAAACCTAGCAAAGAACTTCATCAAGATTTCTTTAAAAAAAAAAAAGATTTCATTTACAACAACAAGAGCTGTCGGTAGGACAGCAACGCTCGACTATTCTTAGTGCTTGATTGTAAAAAAAAATGCTTGATACAGTAACCTCCTCCTGTTTACAGGTTGGGGTAATGATGGTGAACAAGTGTGCAAAGTTTCAAAGCCATATGTGAATGGACTTTGAAAATATTTGAGGTATTACAAAAACTTTAACGTAAATTCTAAGTCCAAAAAGGGGCATAATTCTGTCAAAATGCTTGATACACTTACCTCCTCCTGTTTACAGGTTGGGGTAAAGTTGGTGAACAAGTGTGCAAAGTTTCAAAGCCTTATGTCAATGGACTTTGAAAATATTTGAGGTATTACAAAAACTTTAACATAAATTCTAAGTCAAAAAAAGGGGCATAATTCTGTCAAAATGATTGATACCGTTACCTCCTCCTATTTACGGGTTGGGGTATTGATGGTGAACAAGTGTGCAAAGTTTCAAAGCCTTATGTCAATGGACTTTGAAAATATTTGAACTATTACAAAAACCAATGGACTTTGAAAATATTTGAACTATTACAAAAACTTTAACATAAATTCTAAGTCGAAAAAGGGGCATAATTCTGTCAAAATGCTTGATACAGTTACCTCCTCCTGTTAACAGGTTGGGGTAATGATGGTGAACAAGTGTGCAAAGTTTCAAAGCCTTATGTCAATGGACTTTGAAAATATTTGAACTATTACAAAAACTTTAACATAAGTGGTTACGCCGACGCCGACGCTCGGGTGACTACAATAGCTCTACTTATTCTTATCGAATAGTCGAGCTAAAATTGTCTCAATTAAAAAAGTGCAGTAAAATGCATTGCAAGTTCCCTTCTATTATTGCAAATTTCAACCCGCCATTACATCCTAACCTGAAAACAAATCATCTAAATGCACAAGTTTATATCTGACCTGTTATCTTCTTGATTTCTTGGATCAATAATAAGTTGCCTCCCTTGGGTATTGGATGGAAGCCTTATTGTCATTGGCTCAGATGTGAAACTAGTCTGTGTACCAGGACTCTGATAATTGGCAGCCTCTTGTTTAGTATGCATTATTTGAGACTCCATGTCCCTGAGAAACTTGTCTGAATTTAATGTATGTTGTTCCTAAAATAGAACATTCAAACATGTAAGGAATTGGAAAATATCTCTATTCAGACAAATTCTGATCAATGTACATTTTGCATTTTATCTGGTAATAAAAATTTCCCATTCAAATACTTGAAGCTTGTCAACTGTTACTTAAGCAATTTTCTAAATGTATCAGCAATTATAAATAACGTCTGTGGATTAGATACTGCAAGTGGATATTTAAGAATACCTGTTCCTGTTTTTGTTTCTCAGATTCCCGTGCCAGTCTCTTTTCTTCCTCATACTGCTGGCGTATTCTTTGCCGATCTCGCTCAAACTTCTCCTGTAGCAAGTACAATAATAGATAATTATAGTAACCTGAAAACACTGCAGTCTGTTGTTCTTTAACAAAACTGTTTACCAATATACTTTGATTGAATTTACTGATGCTGTTAGAATAATGACTGCTCCTTATCCGCTGCATTTTAATAAATTCTAAATAAATCAATGAACATTTTTGTTATTACAACATTGAATATTTACCGGCATGCATACACTATATACATGTATCTCTCTTCAGACTGAATTAAAAGCTGGACATTATAACAAAATTCTTTTTTTTTTCTTACAAATTTTCAATAAAACTCTCACAATCTCAATTCTAGAAAAATTATCCTGATATATGGTAAAAGTATAAATATATAAAATAAATGTACCCTGTCCTTGAGAAGGAAGCCACCAATTTCTACTGTACAAGCAATTATTATCTACTTCATACTACCTTATTATAGTTTACCTGTGGTGAGAGGGGCGGTGGCTCGCTGTAATTTGGTACATTTATTTCCATCAAGTTAGGCGCATCAACTTGCGCTTGTTTACGAGCAGGGGCAGCAGACTACAAGAACAGACAAGTACGTGATAACGTGCACACAGCAAGCATTGGGAGTCACACCACAAGGTGAAAGCAAAATAAACATAGGCTTACCACATTCCATACACTAGAAACAACCTTGACTTTACATTTAGTATTGTTTGACATTTATGTATTACGTTTGTTCTGTGATTATGCTCTTTAACAAATTTTAAAAAAAATAGAATTCGCAATTCAAATAATGATGTTTTTTGAATTTGTTAATATTTTTCTATCCCAATAAATCAAGGTTGTTTCTAGCAAACTAAATTTTCTATATGCATAAATATTATTTTTTTAAGTTATGAAATTATAAAAATCATTTTAATCAAGCTAAGAAATAATGTAATTTTCTAAACAATAACTGAAAGATAACCTAGTTACAGGAAATGAAGAAACATAAACTTAGATGTATAATAATAAACTATAAAGGCAAAACAAATAAATGTTTCAGTTACAAGAAAGAGCTCTTTCACTTAAACCTACAAATGACCTTCAAATACAAATGACCTTCAAATACAAATGACCTTCAAATCACCTTGGTATCCAGCCATTTTTTCTATCAATTGTATTTTTTATCCAAAAAAAATCTTTGTTTCAATATTAAATAAACCTCTTTAACTATAATGAATGTTATTTAGAAGCTGGTCATTCAAAGCTGTATTAAGACTTAGGAGAAAAAAAGTTGGATACAGGAATAAGATTTGTTTTCTAAAGCATAAGAAATAGCTGTTAGTATCCAAGCTATTTATTCCATTAGATTTTAAATGCTTAGTTTTACTTTATAACCATATATTAAATTCATTATTCAAGGCCAATAATTGTCTCTACCTAACATGTGTTATTTATACATCAAACATAAAAGTATACCTTACATTTTTAAATATTTGTATTCTTTTAAAATCACTAACAACCATTCTGACTCATGTACATTTACATTTATAAAATGATTTTACTACTAGAAATGACAAAGCATGCAGCAAGCAGAGCTTGTTTTGGTCATACTACATCAAAATGGCTCTATACAGGTAAATAAGTTCTACACTCTTGTTCTGAGAGTTAAGGTATTCTTAACATTACCATCTCATATTTCATGTCTTTATTATAATATAAATTTAATGTATTATAGAAATAATTGTATTATTAGCCTTGAACTAATGAACCATTCTTTAAGATAAAAAAATGTTATATTTGTCAGTATTTTTTTTCATTATGCACAGTCAGCAAGTAAGCCAGTCAATTTTTTATATGTATCCACAATTAGCCAACATCTTTAAAAGTAAGAAACCCTAAATGCATAACTAACATTGAATATAATGTTCTTCTTGATCACCTTATTAACAAATACATATTTGGTAAAGTTATATTCATGTATATCGCACTAATATGATATTAAAAACATAAATTTTCTAAGTGGCAATAAATCAAAATTGGTATAGTAAGTTTTGTTTGTTTGTTTTGGGTTTTACGTCACATCTACATAGTATAGGTCATATCGCGACGTTCCAGCTTTACTGGTGGAGGAAGACCTCAGGTGCCCTTCCGTGCATTATTTCAGGCACAAACGGGTTCCTGAGTAGAACCACAGACGTTCCGTAGGCTAGCTGGATAGCTTCCTCACATGAAAGAATCCAAAGTCCCTGTCGGGATTCGAAACCCACAGCGGTGTGGGGCAAGTGATAGGTATAGTAAGTAAATTTAGTTCCTACTTCAGTAAGATAATACTTGTCATTTTTTGCTGTTGGGTTTTTATATGTCAGTCAAACACTGTTTAGAACATATGCGAATCGAGTAGAACAGCTGACCTCCTATAAGCTTGCTGGATGAATGAGATCCTGGCAGGATTCAAACCCAGAGCAATGTGAGGTAAATTATGTTAATATATTGAAGTATAAGGCTGTTTTCAATGTTTTTCAGATAATGCTTTTTTTCAGATACACATGAAAATTTGACTGGCTTAATACACTCCTCACCATTAGACCATACATACAGTTAACTATGCAAGCAATTATCAAGTCAGTATCAAGCAAACCAAGAATAATATTTTCAGGCAAAAACAAGATAAATCAGGCAAACTGCAAGCAACATAAAACATATATAAGGGTAGTTTACCTCAGCTGTCAAATGTTCTTCTCGGTGTATGGTGAGCTCTACAGGTGGGGCGCTTGATTGATGGTCCGGCTAATAGAGGGTAAAAGATGCACAAAAACAAATCGTCAAACCAAAATACATTCTCAACATGCAGAATTTAATGTTAAAATGTGCTTTAATGCCTTTCAAACACTGAATGCTGTACATCATCATAGGGTGCAGTGTAATAATGTACAGGATATTAGAATTATGATGAAGAAGTTATGACATAGTAAAAGTAAACATTGATAACCAGGCTATTCCTAACTGGCATGTCTGCTTGGTTCAATAATGCAATGTTTTTAAAGAACAAGATTTTGACAGTTGTATTGTAACAGTCAGTATATTGTTGCCTATTGAACAAACTTGTATTATTATCAGATCAATATATATGTCATACATTAATATGTCAATGTTTATGTTGTACATTTATATGTCAATGTTTGTGTCATACATTTATATGTCAATGTTTATGTCATACATTTATATGTCAATGTTTATGTCATACATTTATATGTCAATGTTTGTGTCATACATTTATATGTCAATGTTTATGTCGCATACATTTATATGTCAATGTTTATGACTTTATATGTCATTATTAACATATGGAAAGATCTCATTCAGAAAAATTAGAACATGCCATTAACACTTTAGTTGCCAAAACTTCCGAAAATATAATAACAATGTTTTGCCAGCGGAAATTTTCTCACAGATATATGGGCACTACTTTTACAGATGAAGTAACCTATTTAGATTGGTGCTTATTTTTCACTTTCTACACCGGAACCTTTTATATAGCGCTCATGTTGGTGTCCATGCTCTCAAGGCCGCCTTATAACCAGTAACCATTTATAACGCTTATTGTATAATTACTCGTATAATCGTATAATTATTAATATGATACTTGGTACTATAAGTGGGACAGTATACCTGTCTGGAAGGCAGCTAAAGAATTATCATGCAATCATGTTGCTGTGCAAACTACTTTGTTTTGTAAGAAGAAAATGGACATTCCAGTATAATAATATGATGGCCATGCTTGCTTGTTAGTTGTAACATTCAAAACTCAAACATAGCAACAAGACTCGACTCATTTTAGAATGTATAACTATGGATAAAGTATAAAATGAAATATGACTTTTAAAAGAAAGTTTCAAATGCTTTTCAATTATTGTCAATAAAGTAAGAGCTTCATTAGTTTCAATGAAAACATAGATTCAATGGTAAAAAATTTCCATAAAATCAAACCCGGAAAGTTTGCTCTTAAATTAAAAATAACTTCTAAAAAAATCAAAATCACAACAAAAATTAAACAAAAAATTCCTTAAGAACCTCAAATTTAATACCAATTTAAATCCTTAAACTTGCCCACCGTTTTGTTGCCAAAAATTTTATAAGGGCAAGCAAAACATTAAAAAATTAAGCAAATTGCCTTTGACAACATTAGACACTGACAAGATTCCCAAAAATTTTTCTTGTGAAAACCTTTTATTCATGGAACATTTTTTTGAATTTTTGTCCAAGGGCAAAATTCTGGGTCTAAAAATTAAAACGAAAAAAAGGTGCCCTAACATCTTTATTCTTCTGTAAATTTTCGACAGGACGGGGATGGGAAAAGGGTTGGAATTCGATTTTACTCGGACTCTGATCAAACCCGCGGGGGAAAAACCCAAGGTCCTAACTGCTATTTCCTTTCCCGGTTTCATGACTTTTTTAGGGTGGGTCTTTTTAGGGGTTTGGAGACAGTTGATCAAATTTTCTAATCGGGCCCAAATAACTCTAAAATAATAAAAAATATCAAAATTTAAGGGGCACAATAAACATTATAACACCTTAAATGTTCCCTAAAAATAAAATTTTAAAGTTAATTCGCAAAAGTTAAAAATTTGCCCAAAATAAGGGGTTTATATTTAAAAAGGGAGAATTAACTCCTACAAAAATCTAAAGAAAAACCTACAAACAATTGATAATTCTGTAAAACCAAATTAAAAAATTTTTAGTTAAATCACCAATAAAATTGAAAATTACTGCATGTGATAAACTCAAAGTTTGATTTGGAATGACTATAATGTATTTGTTTGGGATCATTAAATGAAGTCTTTATTTTTTTTATTTTTATTTTTTTTTGGAACCCCAAAACTTAACTCTGTTTATTGTTCCTACCATAAGCAAAATAGGATAGGGGGTCCATCACACTATTTCATCTCACAATTCATTGAACAAATATGAAATATAGTGGAGCATAGAAGAGAATTTTTTTATGCATACTAGCATATACTGTACAGTATTCTGTAGGGTATCACGACATGTAACATTTTAAAAGAAACTGGATACAGTAAAAACATCTATATATAGGTATATATTACATGATAAATCTTGTATCATTTTCCCTTGATGGTCTAGAAATTTTACCTTGCCACAGATGCTGCCTGTTTAAAAAGATTCTTTTTCATCCTTTTTTGGTAGGTTTTAACCCTTAACCTCATATATACGCGAAACAACGCACTTTCGACCCCCCCCCCCCCCTTTTTTAGGCCTCAAAGAGTGAAAAAATGTCCTATTTGGGCCCCAAACACATGTTTTCATTTGAGAAATGTTGCTAAAAAAATTGAGCACGTTTTCCGCACCGCCCCCCATCCAAAAGATACACTAGGGGGATGCCAGAGGGGGGAGGTGCCCTGTTACGGGGGTTTGAAGGGGGGCAGAGCCCCCCTCATTGCCAAGAAAATTTTGGACTTGTGAGAGGCTAAAAATGACCCCAGGTCGATCATAATGTAATGTGTAACCAACACTGAAAAGCCTTTGACTCTATCTCAATCCCTTGAGAAGTTGCAGCACTTTGAAATAAATTTTGATGGAAAAAATCGAGGCAAAATAGTGATTTTTGGCAATTTTGAGATGCCCCCTCGTTGCCATGGTAACAGGAAATTTAAGACTGAGCATGTCGCTACAAAGGCAATGGTCCAGTCAACATTTGTGCCAAGTTTGATTAGTATTGAAGCATTTTTCATAGTTTCATAGCAGTTTGAACTTGTAACAGGAGGCTTTTCAGTGAAACGGCCATTTTTCACAATATGCTCATGGGGGAAAGGGTTAAAGTACATGTACACTAGTGTTAAATGCCAATTTGCCTTGTTGTCATTGATAGGTAAAGGCCCAAAGTGCCTCTTTACAAATAATTTCAGACACAAGTGCATGCCTTAGTGAAACACTGAAACATCATTCTGCAAGCTAGCCAAATAGCTTTCTCACATGAAAGAACTTCCTGAGATTCAAACATATGCCATGACAGGTATGTGATTTAAAGCACTGCATATGCCATTTCAGAGTAGAAATCCAGTCCATATAGTCTATGAAACTTACCTGATTTTGGTGTGACACTGGCTGGGGATTTCTTCACAGAGATGGTGGATCTTTCCTCTGTCATTTGGACATCATGGGGAGCACTCATATCCCTGGTTGGAGATGTCGTCTGCCTCACAGGTGTTTTCTGCCAGACTGGTGCAGACTGGGTATTAATTCTAATATCTGCTGTAAAACTTTCTGTAGCTACTGGACTAGGTGACCTTTTATTTCTCTAAATGAGGAGAAAAAACACAAGATTTTACAAAAAACATACACTACATATCATACAGTATACATTAATTTTTTATCACATAAAAAAAAACAACAACAAAAAAACACCAAGTATCATAACGTTATCAGAATTTTGCAACTTACACCACTTGCCAAATAATTCCATTACATTACAATAACAGGCAAATTAAATTAAGGATGTTAAATTTAACAAAATGCACTATAACATACAGGCTAATTCCATGTGAGAACACAACAGAAAAATACAAGATCTGTCACCTGCACAGACTGGTTCTCATAATCCATTCAGTTATTCCTGTGGACGATGAATCATTTTAATTATATTCTACTTTCATTTTTTTCCGGAATGTTATTCATGATCACAAATGCAATTAAACATTACAATATATATTTCTGTACACACTATATTCAACCAAATCATATAACACAAGTTTGTGATACATTTAGAATATTAATGTGTAAATTCTCAATTCATCAAATTGTTTATGACTCATGTAATTGAATGAATGTATAATAACATCATGTGTGAAATAAACCAAATAAGATAGAGGACTTGGCTACATCTCCAGATGGTTCATTATTTAAAAGGTTTCATGGGAAATTATTTAAGTAACACTGATGAAGCACATTGTATTTTTACTACTATACAAGGTTATTTTCAATTATATCGCAGGCTGTAGGATTAACTATTTAGCATACAAATAATAACTTCCATAAAATTTTAAAACTTGGATGTCAGAGACTGAAAATGTCTCACATTGGAAGTCACATTATATAGGTACAGAAGGAAAAACACAATATTTTGGAAGTCACCGACCAAAATTAAATCAGGCAAGCTTCCACTAATGGATGCCCAGATTATAATACAATATAATCACAATACATACATAATTTTAACAAGAACAATTTTAGAAAGATATAAAAAACAAAATCAGAAAATCAGAAAAAGTCGTTATTGATTTTATTAATTCATTTTATTAATATACAAAGGCTATTACTGTAAAATATAAATACCTCATTGTTATTTGCCTCCCTTTGTTGTTCTCCTATAAGCTGATCCATTAATCTTGGTTTTTCATCTACCTTTGTTGTCATCTAAAATGTTCAATAAAATGAAGTTTAATTTAAATATAAATAAATATATATAAATTAAATAGCAAGATTTTCCTAATTGTTATTTTAAATTCATCTACCAAGTTAACTATCCATGAAAATCTAGGCTCGTTATTCAATATGAATAGTCAGTTTTATACGAATTAAAATGTCACCTAATATATTTAATATTACTTCAATACAATTTCTTTTTTTATATATGATAAAAACACATTCTTTACAAACAAACTTATCAAATTTCAGCTATAAGAAACAATATTATCCCTATACTTAATCCCTATACTTACAGGTATATTACCATTACATAGTACAACTTTGTAAATAAGCCGAAGTTACTTTACGCCAACAATTATAACATCTTTACAACAAGTAGAATACAAACACATATATAATCATAATATTAATTGTTTTTTTTTATACATTTTCTTCTGTATAAATCATTTACAGTAATCCTATCTATTTGAAATGTTTGTTAAAATTAACAGCTGTCAGCAATTTCATTGTGTTTTGTAGGTAAACATTTGGGATCATATTTTAATCAATGCACACTTGGCAACAGTTCGAGATCATCAACAATAACACTTCTTACTGTAATTGGCAGATACAGTACTTTAAACTTCATTATACAGCAAATAAGTGGGTTTTTTACCATATTTAACATAAATTGACTCATAAACACTTAAATTAAGGTGACATATTTCACTACTATGAAATAAAAATCAGGAGATATATTAAAAGGCAAATGACCTTCACAGATGAATGTGTAAAATTTGTAAAGAAATACTTTTTGCAGATTTCATCAAATTGGCCACTACCTTGTTGCCATATGAGTGCACAATAGGGTTCAATCTCATGATCATTTGTGATGAAGGCAGCGGTACCTTTACCAGTAAGTTATTGCTAAGCCTGCCCTAATTTGTTTTACCATGTTAAAAGTTTTATAATCATTTATTACTATGAATACAAATAACTTACCTGTAGTGCAGGTTTAAAGTGCGTTGCCTCGTCAACGTGATCAATTTTCTTGATGTTGTTGTTGTTTATTGCATGGTCAGTAAATGCACTCTCTTCCATAGAATCATATCCATCTAAAATACAACAAATTTATCTCTCTTAAAATGTGAATAAACTTTCATTAAAATAATTCATTTGTTAATATATCAATTAAACAGACACTTTCTAGTAATTGCCACCTGCTAAATTCCACTTTTATAGTTCTTTATTGTTTTGTGAATCAAATCAAATTCTGATCAATGAAAATTCATGAATTTATCCACTGGTAAATATGAATAATCAATGTTCCTGATTTGAATGAGCCAATATTTCCAATCAAGTTCCATATTGACCATTCACTGATCACCGGCTCCTGATTACTTCTGTATGTAGAACAATAGAGCCAGGTAACAGAGGAATGTCAGGTATCCCTACTTGTTAAGATAACACTGGTCTCGTGTTACTACACCTATCTATATAGCTCTCTTATACCCTTACATTCTTATAAAAATTATCACTTATTTACTTAAAAATAGATAGCAAGACAAGAAACACATTGTTTCTACTTCTTACAAATAATACAAGACATTGTGAGTAAATATGACATTCATTTTTTTTCCATATAAATTTACAACTTATGTCTAAACAGGTTTTATAAAATCTTAAGTAATACAAGTTCACTTTTTATACACTTAAAGAAATGAAACTCTATATGATATTTAGTGAATACAATGTTATATTGAAATCAAAACTGGTTTCATCCATTTCACAAACAGATCTTTACAAATTTCTATACAATATCTAATTTGTCAATACACGCCTTGAATAGAAAGTACACAGTTAGATGTAAAATAGGTACATAAAATATAAAAAAATCATGAAGAAATATCATACATACAGCATATATATCATCAATAACAAGTATTTCATTATCTAGATGATTTATTTCAACATTATTACATGAAACTGATTTCATTTTCATAAAAAAATGTGAGGAATGGGAAAAAATGGAAGCATTACTGGTTTCCTAGCAGTTTCCGGCCACAAATCGCACTTTTTAACAAATAAAATATGTAGGAATGGGAAAAAAATGGAAGCATTAGACAAATAAGGCTGTTTCATTTATGACCAAGACAAGTCAACTATATTAATATTCCCAGGTACAAATTAATATTTGTGAATTATAATACTGTATGTTAGTTAGTTACCTCATATTTCACTGGATGACCATCATACTTAACATCCAGTGAAATTATCAATCACCCCTTTAATTTATTAATCATCCCTCGTTTAAATAGAGGAGTTGATTAATAAATTTGAGGGGTTATTTCTATATGAGGGGTGACTTATAATTTTGAGGGGTGATTGATAAATTGGAGGGGTGTTATAGATTGATAAATTTGATGGGTGATTGATAAATTTCCAAAATTCTCCTTTGAAAAATCTATTTCTTCATCAAATCACATGATAACTCATATACATGTAAAACAAAAAATCTTATTTTCACTTATCAGGTACTTATCAATCATCCCTCATAAACACTGCTTCTGTAAATTCATAAATTAATTTTCATTATTTATAAAATAATGGAATTGTGCTGTATTATTAATATTTTGACAGATTATATGTATAAACCGTTGTGGGTTATTACTAAGCCATATTACTTGAGTTCTTTATTGAGTCATATAACTTGTCTAAAAACTTAATAATAACCATATAACAAGTTCATGTATTTCATCTTATATTCAGAAATCCATATTTTTTATCCTTTAGAACTGTCAAACATGTGTTTGATAATGTCTTAATAGTGGATTAAGAATATGTTAGATGTTTAACAACTGAAGAGAATAGCACTGATGTGTCGTAAAGGTAGCAAAATGTAGACAAAGAAGTATTTTGACTTCCATGTATAATACTAATTCACTATAATTATACCAATTACTAACAGAGCAACAGAAGCAAAAGGTAGTTCATCTATATGACAAATCATTAATGAATATTTTTTTTGGAAACTGTAACAAGATACAAAAAAATAAAAGTTTAAAACCAAATAAAAAGATAGCATATCTGAGGCATAATGGGCCTGTAAGTTTTGCCTGTTTTGGTCATTTATATACATGTATGTATTCTGTACAACATCAAATTGGTTCAAGTTATTTCCTGCAGATACTAGGACATTCCAGAGAAGATTACTAATCAATCTATCAGGCTAACAAAAATCCTCATGTCAAATAAAATACTATAAGCCTTTACAAATGCTGACAGGAATCTATAAAACATTTCAAGAATCATTTATTTCTATATTAGCACAGGTTTGGTTATATTACACAGGATATCAATTATATGATAATGAAGTCACATTCATGAAATACCAGTACAATACTGGATGTTATAACAGTTTTCATATAATATCAATTCATGTAACATCAGTAGTTCAGCATATTATTTTTGTTGTTAAAAAGTGAATACAAGTATCAAGTTAAATGATTTTTTTTTTTTTTTTTTGAAAATACCAAATTTGACTACTCATACAAATATTGTTTTTATTCGGCCAAAATATATCTGCATGCAAACACTATATGCCTGACTTTGTACAATATGATAATATAATGTTAACAAATAAAAAAAATCAAATTATTCAACTAAAAAAATGAATAAATAAACATATGTATGGTATAATACCCATATATTTTAATTTGAAGAATCTTATAATAACATCTTCTTATTGCAGTTACGGGTTAACTACTATCAAATTATATAAGGAGTTAAACCCTTACTGCACTAAAATATGATAAATGAATGTGAACAATAAAATACAATGTTAGTTTGAACATTGGCAGTGTGTGGTCTTTATACATTCCGTCTGTCAATTTTTTACACTTTCATTGTAGAATTGTTGTAACAATAATAAAACTCTTTGATGCCTACAGGTGTGGTAAAAGTTACCTAGCCTGCTGAGCTACCACAGCTGCTAATTATGACATACATTATATGTTAATTAACATTTAAACACTTGTTGTTTATAAATACATGAAAGAAGATTATGGAAACAAGGCAAGATAAACAAAGTTGGTGTATTATCATCCCTGTCAGGTACATATATAACACACCTGTTGCTATACTATTTACACTGTTGTTGCTATAAATCAGCCACCAACAACATACAACTTATGTCAACTGTCTATCATTATCATAAACAGGTAAATATTTTATCCTACAAGACAGTATCTCTCATCATTTATAAGTCACAATGAAGATAAAGCTTGTAAAAAAATAAATCATTTCACACTTTTGTGCTTGATACAGTATTCTGTTAAATTCATATATGTGTCTGTAAAATGTCACCAATAATATAATGCAAGGAAAGGGCAATAACTCTGCTTCTGTAATAAAATCAGTTGTTAAATTTATCAAGTTGACTTAAAATGTTCCCTTGAGTAATATAACCCCCACATTGAAAGTGTAATACAAGACATAAATGCATAATCCAAGATAAAAACTTATATAATTATATATATTTTCTACCTTTCTTATTCCAGACTATTACCTGTAGGGGAAACAACTCTTTAAGTTAGTAAGTAATCCTATCCTAACCTACCTTCTTGCATATAGCGTTTGATTCTCAGTTCTATCTGTCCTCGTTTAACACTGTGATCTACAATACCCTGTACCTGAGCCAAGGTCAAGGTTGTAACATCTCGCCCATTTACTGAAATAAGTTCATCATTTGCCTCCACTTCACACACATCTGCAGCACTACCTGTAATGTTATAATGAAAGTAAACTTGTTAATTATCAATGTAATTAGTACACTTAAATTCAATTTCTAAACTTATCAAACTAATGAGCCAGTCTAATTTAACACTCCATCCCCTAATCCGCTATTGTTGGAAATGTTGGACAGTAAAAAGGTAAAATACCAGCTAAATGCCCCTCTCCCCCAACCCCCTCTATAAGTTAGACATATCAACCACTGCAAGTTAGGACATACCCCCCCCCCCCCTACTGTGAGTTGTGTGTTGAACATTTTCCCTAATGCAAGCCATCATATCCCACATAATTTACTGTTAAAAATATCAGTGGTAACAAGCAAGTGAAGAAGTAAAACGTTTTAAATATCACACAATCTACATGTATGTAAATTTTAAATTAATTCAATTTTGCCAAGTAGAAAAATTGGGGTGCATAATGCAAGCTACAAAAAAAAATACATGTGCATGTTTATATAATTTGCCTGGTAATATTTCCTAACAAAATATCAATATAGAACAAATATAGTTGAATTGTTTTCTCTTGTCTGACACAAATTTATTTCTTAATGATTGTTTCTTCTTTGCTACAAGAAATAATTTGACAAAGAAAACAATTTATACATTAAAAAGAAATTAAACTGTAAACAGATTGTAAAACATAATCAACATATCTATGGAGAAGGCATGCATCTTATGAAAATCACTAAATCTGTCTCAATTTTATTAGATTTTAGGACAAGATAATTAATGTGTTTGTCAATGGAGGAAAACAGTAAGTACCAAGAGATGATGGTTACCAAATGATAAAGTACCAGATGACAGGTGAAATACCCTATGATATCATACTTAATGATACTAGTAATTGAAGTACCCTATCATATCACATTTAATGACAATTAAAGTACCCTATGATATATTTAATGTGATTGAAGAACCCTATGATATCATACTTAATGATAATTAAAGTATCCTATAATATATTTAATGATAATTGAAGTGCCCTATGATATCATACCTAAAGATAATTAAAGTACCCTATGATATCATACCTAAAGACAATTGAAGTATCTATTATATTATTCCTAATGATAACTGAAGTACCCCATGATGTTACACTTAAGGATAATTGAAGTACCCTATGATAACATACCTAAAGATAATTGAAGTGCCCTATGATGTTATACTAACTGATAATAGAAGTACCCTATAATGTCATACCCTTTGACAGTTGAAATACTCAAAGATATAACACCCAATGATAAGTGAAGTACCCAATGATATTATACCCAACAACAGTATCAAAGGACCAATATTGTAATATCTAATAACTGATGTTCCCTGTAATGTAATGCCCAATAATGATAAAAATACACAATGACGTAAAAAATTAATATGTTTAATTATATTAAGTAAAACAGTAATAAAATATGGTTACACATTATGAATGTAAGAAAACAAGATATCAATTGATATAATTACAATTACCTAATTGTGGTGATTTCTTAGAAGCAACTAAAACAAAAGTTAAAATGAATGTGAAATGAGCAGTTATGTAAATGAAAACTGGAAAATCCGAAGATAAAAACAAATCTGTGCAAACAAATAAATCTGTAATGATTAAAGAGTCATCAACAGCAATCAATCAAGAAATGACAAAAACATTTTCTAAAAATTTCTACACTCTAAGAAACTGAGGGTATTTGAGCCACGCCATGACAAAACCAACATAATGGGTTTGCGACCAGCATGGATCCAGACCAGCCTGCGCATCTGCGCAGTCTGATCAGGATCCATGCTGTTCGCTATCAGTTTCTCTACTTGTTAGAGGGTTTGTAAGCGAACAGCATGGATCCTGATCAGACTGCGCGGTCGCAAACGCATTACATTGGTTTTGTTGTGACGTGGCTCATTTGTTAACTACAGGTGGTGTATTGAATGCTGCAGCACTGGCTGTCGACAAAGTTACAAGAGACACTGTCAAGGACTAGAATTATTGTTAATTAGTCACAAAGAATGTTATATTTCTAGACTTACTCTTTGATTCATCTATAAATACATCATCATTCTCGCTTGTTTCACTTCCTAAATACAAGTCACTTTGTTAACATTTTATTTGTACATGAACCTTGTATAATATTTTATGGTAATTTACAGAATTGATGAGCATAAAAGCAAGCTGGAGCAGCACAGACCGATTAAAAAACAGTCAAGACCTTGTCGGTTCTAAAATTTATAATATAAAATAAGTATATGATATTATATGCAATATTATATGCACTAATACTAATGTAAGAGAAGAAAGCTGAATACTAACCAAGGGATACTCTTTGAACAGTGACAGGCTGTTTCTTTTCAATCCCTCCCACCAAAAAGAATCCGAAACCTCTCTCATTGTTTGCCTTCTGGCTGATTTTTATTGTCTTCTCTGTGAACTTCTGCAAATAGTACATTTAAATCACAATGAAAAATACCTTTTTCTACAAACAAGGGACACTACTCTTGATAAATAAGTCAATAATAATACAGTGATTATCTCCCTTTTAGTAACAATTTCTGAACAGTTTGATAAACACCAAATAATCCAGATTATATCAAACATGAAGAATTTAGCAATGGAAATTGGAATACTAGTTTTCTTTCTTTTTTATTTCAAAGTATGATTATGATTATCTTGTAAGAAAATAAGACAATTACACTTTGTTGAATATATAAGTTGATAACAGGTTATTGAACTTTATAAAGGTGACCAGGTTAATACAGGATTGACTCTGTATTAGTACCCTATTACTAAAACTAACATTTGTCTTTTATATTCAAATTTTATTATTAACTTTTCAGTAATAACATTATGGAAAAATATTTAAATTTCAGTAAATATTTGAGTGTTCATTTTAGTAATTGTATTTTATTAATCATAGATCATGCAATGCCTCATTTCTTGTGGAAGACAGAAAGTGAAATGTTATTGTTTTTAAGAGAAATTTAAAAAAAAAGATAATTTTATATTAATCATAAGTGATTAAAATTTGTTAAAAGACCTTTAAAAAATAACCAAAAAAATTCTTATGAATAAGACAAAAACATTTCAGGCACACTGTGTAAGAAAAATATGACATAATTATGTGTACATACAATGTATTAATGCCATGGCTATATCATGGTATGCATTATGTTATGGCTATATCAATATGTACATTATGTCATGGCTATTTCAAGATGTACATTATGTCATGACTATATCAAGGTCGGCATTATGTCATGGCTATATCAATTTGTACATTATGTCATGGCTATATCAATTTGTACATTATGTCATGGCTATATCAATTTGTACATTATGTCATGGCTATATATCAAGATGTACATTATGTCATGGCTATATCAATTTGTACATTATGTCATGGCTATATATCAAGATGTACTTTATGTCATGGCTATATCAATTTGTTCATTATGTCATGGTTATATCAAGTTGATATAATAATCAAGATGTACATTATATCATGTATCAGACTAGATGTCATGGCATAACCATCTTTTATAGTTTAATTTCAGTCTTGCCAAAAATTCTAGAAGTAAAGCCCTAGAAACAAATTTTATGAACTACCAGATATCTTGTTTAAAACAGATAATATTATTTTCATCTAGCAATTCACAACAATTAAATGTGACATTTCTACACAATAAGAAAAGTAGTATCAGACTATGGCCCCCAAGTCAAGAAATTTGTAAATGTCCAATAAAGTGTTTACAAAACAACATTTCATGCTTGCAAACATAAAATGATTTTGGACATCATCATGCCAGGCCTGTGTAAAACAAGAACAAGTTTAACAGTGTTCCCATGCTTGTTTCACTAAATGTACCAACTTTGTAATGTTTTGTGGTGTTGTCATGTCTAAACCATTACCACGGTTATATAACTGTAAATAAGTATATCATTTTATGTCACTGCATCATGAAAGAAAATCAAACAAGAATCATGTAGCTTTTTTACAAAATTGATTCGCTTTTAATAGACCAACAGTAAAAAATGGTTCCATATAAATATTTTACTTTTTTGTACCGTTTATAAATCATTAACCATGTATTCATGTCTGATTTTTCTCACAAACCGCTATTTCTAATCCCAAAACCTTACAAAGTTGGATAAAAATAAAAATAACAAAATAGTGCAATCCTAGATATTTTGTTAATTAACTAATGCTACTGACTCATTAATAAAGGTTGATAAAGTTTCATAAAGTATCAAACTTGCTTCAGGAATATCTGACGTGTTATATAAAGATTTTCCTGGATCAACATGTGGAAACCCCCACTTTGTGCCAGACCAATCGTAAACAAGATTGTCCTCATGGAAATCGTCAACTACATTGCTAACTATGATATCTGGAATAGAACTTGTTGGTAAAGCTGGGGGTCTAGGTGACTCCATATCATCATCAGGTTTTGGCATCTCTAAGCTTGCTGGTAGAAGACAATGCAGTGGAGAATTATATCCATCTCTAATGTCTTGGTGACTTGGTGTTTCTAGGTATATTGGAGTTCTGTTGACAATATCTGGTGTTTGTTGTGCCCATGATTCAGATTCAACTGAAACATTAGATAGAATTTGAGAGCTTGGAGGGAATAGCTGTGACGGTGAATCATTTCTTGGAGAAGTCTGAGGGGATATAGATTTGGTAGACAATTCTTCCACTGGAGACATGCTGTCTACTGAGCTTGTATGTTGATATTGCGATTCTCTATCTTTATTATCTGATGAATGCAAATCTGTATCTTCATCTTCTACATTTACAGAACTGAAATCCAACTTTGGAATATAATCCTGTTCTGGTGGTATATAGTCCTGTTCTGGTGGTATATAATCCTGTTCTGATGGTATATAGTCCTGTTCTGGTGGTATATAGTCCTGTTTTGGTGGTATATAATCCTGTTTGGGTGAATTTATCTCCTGATTTTTCACATTTTCAATTACACTGTCAACAATCTGCTCTGCAAAATTCTCAATTCTATTTTCAATAATAAAATCTTCATTCTTAAGATCAATAGCCTGTATACTCTCTTTTTGTTTTTCAACTAAATTGTCTTGAATATCATGCATTTCATCATCACTTTTGAAATCCAAATCTTTAGAAGTGTTTTCTAAGCTATTAGAATAGCCATCAAGAAAACTGTATGTTCCAAGTTCTATACTTTGTTCATCAACTTTATCTTCAGACATATTTTCAGGAATGTCATATAAGCCCTCATTAATTCTGCTTCCTTTATCAGTTTGATTTAAATGTGTACAGTTTTCTTCAGTTTCTGGCATATTCAAATTTTCATTTTCATAACACATGTCCATAGTCTTAGATATGTCACTGGGATTATCTCCAGCACCAGCACTAGCATCATTCTCTTTACAAGTATCAGTGTCTCCAATAGTCACATTAAGTGTGTCATTACTAACATCTACATTACCATCATTTATTTTACCCATGTCAACAATCTGATTATCTGTTACACCATTATGTGCTCTAGGTAAGTCAGTCTGCCCTAGATTTTCAACCTCATGTTCAAACTTGGCTTTTACTGCAGCTATCTTTGCACTTGATGGTTTGGGTGGAGTTGCTGGAGGTTTCTTCATTACCATATTTTCAGGTGTTAGAGCAGAAGGTTTTAGATTATTGGAAGGGGAAAGAGTTTGAAAATACCTTACATTCTCACTAACAGAGGGCTTTTGGAAAGAAAAAGAAAATATACAACTTTTTAAAGCAATTTCCTCATACAACTCTCAGGGCAAAGCGCATTAATTTTCTTTTCATCAATATTTTTGTAAGTAAAGGAACATTTTGAAACAAGAAACAATTGGTACAATGATAATGATATTTCCATCGTTAATTTAACTTTTTCTTTAAATTTTTGATGATCATAATTTATGTTTCACCTATGCTTCTAATACTGATCAAAGTTTTTACAATGTATCATCATCATAATTATATCTTTGTAAAAAGCCCCTTACTAATTCTGAGATATAATGATTCATCTGCCATATAATAAGGTTTGTATCTATACAATGATATCTGTTAAGTTTTTCTTTTCTAAACTTGTGTAAACATTGTGGTTATTACACACTGTCTTTGTATGGGTGTAAATAGATAAAGCATTGATATGTTACTTTATCATTTTGTTTTACAAAGTAAACTTTAAAAAAACACAGGTAATCTTAATCGTTGAATAAAAGAAATACTACTATGAAGGAGAAAATATAATAATAAATATGTAGCTTAGAGGATTTAAATCACTCCTTGAAAATCAAAACCACTGACTGAATTAATAATATAACAAGTTCAATAAGCAAAACAAATTCTTCAACGGAGATACTTCAGTAGTCATATAGAACTAAGAAAATCAATTCTACAGATATGTGATTAATACAGAAATTGATCAAATTTTAACACAGCCAATCAACATACACATGGTCATTCATTCTCGTGTGTTTAAATAAATGACGTATAAACAATCGTTTCCTTTCACATAAAATATTATAATTTATTTCAACTTTTTTACTTTAGAAGCCAAAATGTTTCTTTTGTTTTTAATCTGAATAAATATACCAATGTAACATGCTAGTTTTGAATGGAGTCTAGACATTGATCTATTACTGTCTGGTTTATGAAATGTGCCTAATCATTTTAAGAAAGAAAAAAAAAGTATCTGAAACATGTTAATATATTCAGATAAACTTAAGTATAAGATTATTAAGATTCTTACCTTATCTACATTATTTGAAGCAGGGCTCCCACCTGGACTGTTATGAGAGAACCTTTGATCTCTGGGAATAAGAGCCTTAGGTGCCGTTGGTGACAGGGGTGAAGATGGTTTCTTTTCTTGGGGGGAATAAGGCTTTGAATAACTGTCAGATAAATCCAATGATTTTGAAAGAGAAGAACGACTAAATTCTGAACGTTTTGTAATAACAGGTTGGGCATTAGCTTCTTTATCTTTTTGCTCAAAAGCTTGTGTTATATTCTTAATTTTAGCACTATTTGTTGGAAGATCTTTCACTTTCTTATCATCTTTTTTCTGAGATTCGTTTGCATTGTTTTCCCATAACTTTGCACTACCTCCAAGTGATCTTTGTGTTCTAACAGGTGGCGTTAGTTTGCTTGAAACTGCCTGAACCGATGGCTTACTCTTAACCCAGGAATCATCATCACTTAACACTTTACTGGGTGTTGATTTGTCAGAGAACACACTATCTGTGTCACCTGATTGGTGGCTATTATTAGTCTCAGAATCTGATTGGCTATTGTCCTCCCCACTTGAATCTTGTGCCCATGGAGCTACATCTGCTTTTGACTTCTTGTCCTATAATAGATGGACAACACTTAATGACAAGTTATTTGGACAAAATCATAGATACAAGTCCTGAAATGTAACAAAATCCATCAATACCCATAATAGATACTAAAATAGTTAATATCAAATTGGCAAAAGCATGTCTTTAAAGTATAACATCATTGCTGCATAAAACAGCACAGAAAATTTTTAATAATTTAATAACAGAAATTCCTAAAAAGAAATTCAAATTCTTTATCATTATAGAAGATGAAAAAGCAAATAATGGGCATCTGTCCGATTTCTTATAAGTTAGCAAAAAGAATCTATGACATAATTTTATCTTCACTACATAAGAAGTACACACCTTAGGTTTTGATTCACTCTTTTGGCTACTAGATTTAGATATATAGGATTCACGTGTTTTGACCCCTATACCACTGTCATCATCTTCTAGTGGGTAAAAGTTCATTGGTCCCAGACTACGTCTCTTCTCCTTCTTCTCCATCTTGTGATCTTCGTTATCTAGCGGGTATATGTTCATAGGACCAAGACTTTTCCTTTTCTCTCTGTAATGTAATATCATATACATGTATATACAGACATCCCTGCAACATTACAATGGCAGGCATTAATTTTCAAATGATCCAAATTACAAAATATATTGTTATTCACAAATAGAAAAAGCCTAAAATAACCAGGTTGCTAAGTTCTTTGTTTTCCAGTGAATAATATATACTGAAGTACAAGGCTTATCATTTCTCCCTTAATACAGAGTATCTTTCCTGACTTTTACTTATGATATACATTTAATTGGTCACATTCTCTGGTTTTTTTTTGGCTAGCTGGGATATAAGTCTCTTTGACACTATCAAGGTTGTATCAAATAATTAAGTTGAAGGGGGAAGCAAACTGATATTTTGTACAACAAGTATCCAAAACATGTAGCTCCCTTGTATGAAGAATTAAATGATTATAGCAAGATTTTAACATGATAACTTAGATGCCAACCACATCATATTAGTATTCTAACAATAATATGAACTTGTAAGTTAGGATATTGACTACAAAACACTTGCCCCTCACTACAATCAGATCAAATCCCACAAGGGACATTGGATTAATACATGTGAGGAAGCTATCCATCTAGATTGAACATTGGTGGTTCTACACAGGTGCCTGTTTACTCTTGAAATAATGCACAGAGGGGCACATGGAGTTCCAGTCATGAATGCTATTTCAGTTAACTTACTTTTCCGCCATAATTTGACCAAATGTTTTCACAGGCCTTTTCTCTACTTCCTCTTCTAGTGGGTCACTTTCTAAACGAGAATGTGTAGATTTACGTCGTGACTTCCAATTATTAAAATTCTGTAAAAAAAGTAAATACGTAAAATATAAATATTGGCTATACTATGGATATTCTAGAAGCCAAAGATGTTCAAGATGCTGCGATATGTATAAAAGAGTCTTGTAGGTTATTTTGAGATATACAATATTACATCAATTATGCTACTACATGCAGTTACCCTACATTTAATTACTAGAAATCTAAATGATCCACAGAAACAAAGGAGTTATCTTTAAAAATAAATATTTTCTATGCACATTAAATTAAAAATTTGGACTCCTAAAGAAGACTTTCAAACTTCAATTAACTTCATTTCCGACAAAAAAATTCTACAAACCTTACATTACTTAATAATCATGGCTTATCCGCACAGCTGTATACACAATTCAGTTAAAAACAAATGATTTTCTTTTCTTAAAACATAATGCCTCCTTGGCGCAGACACAAAATTCTAACAAATGGAAGAATTCCAAATAAGGATTTATCTATCAGAAACCAGAAGGTGATTTGTCAATCATTATGAGAAGTCCTAGGGATATTAAATGGTGAATTATTGAAACAAGTTTAGCAACTCCTGACATCAAACATAATGAGCTTGTATTTACATCAACTGAAGGGTAAAAAAATCACAGTCTAATTATTTCTAACTACCATCCAAAAACTTATATTTATGAGTTAATTTAGACACTTTCTTCTGAATAAATTTACATTTTAATTTCTAACCTTATTACAAAAATAAATAACCTCACTAGCAGTGAATGAAACACTTGTTGGTATTTGTGAGATTTGTGAAAAAAAACAAGTTGAGGCAGATTAAGCCGTTATTTAAATCTTACAGATTTTGACCATTGTATTTAAGGTGTACATTTCTCTTCATTAAAACAGCAGGGGTGAGGGGGAGATAGAGGCAATGTAACATTGAAATTGACAGTTACATGATCAGTATTCAATAAACATAGGGTCAAATACAGGTCTACCAACATTCTTTCAGCTCTAACATTTATAACATATCAAAAGGCCATTAATAATACATGTATTATATCTATGTTAACATCTAAGTCTATATTTTGTGATAGCATATATTCTAAAATACCTCAAAGCAAGGGTATAAATTATTATAATATACACTCAAACACTTGGCTGAGACATAACCTTATAAGATTAGCTTGCTGTTTGGCTAAATTAAGTTCCCAGATACTTGACAACAACAAATAAATGGCAAACACAAAAACTATCATATTCCACATCTCCAGATAGGCTAGAGAAAGTTTTCAAAATTTAATTGAGAGATTGAAATATTTTCAAGATAACATTGGATGACATTACAATTACTTACAGACTGCCAGTCTGGCTCATCCGAACTGCCAACACTATCAACTTTTCCTCGCATCATGTTTACTTCTTTAGCCACTTCCATTTGTTTCTTGGCTTGAGCAGCCAAGTTTTCCGCACCTTTTAATTTTATAAACTGTAAAGGATCTGGTGTAGATGTGCTCGTCTTTCTAGTACTGGTCGAAGTACGTCTAGTTGCATAATTGTCTGTACTTCCAGATGACTGTCGTGAATGGTTACCGTAGTAACTTCCATCCATACTGTCAGTAGATGAGGACCTTGTATGAGCATGTGAGCCCTGTGAGAGGTCAGGTGAACTTACATACATACTATCATGTTTGTCATCGGAATACATAGATTCCCCGCTTGCTGTTGACAGTCTGAGATCACGCGGCATCGAGAGCGAGCTCGCACTTCCGTATCTTCTCATTTCTCTCATGTCAGAACGTACTGGCATAGTACCACTACTATCTAGTTCATCAAAACTTGACTCGGACTCACGTTCATAAGATCCAAGAGAATCATAGGAACTATCTCGTATATGTTTAGGACTATCTTTTACCGGACTTCCATTCTTAAATGAATCATCCGATATTACATTCTTATTTCCATGACTATGAACAAGAGCTCCAAAGGCACTTAAATCTAACGCTGGTCCTTTAAATTTTCCTGCTACTGTTTTTCCAAGCCAGTATATTGTCACAGCGACCTGAAAATAGAACACATGTTTATTTGTAATCAATGCAATCAGTAATTATTTCACATTCTTCAAAACATTGTTCAATTATAGTTAAATTACTAACGTCATGTACCAGTCACATTGCTCCCTGTTTTTTTGACACACCTTTAAAGGAACAAATTATGATGGGATGTATAAACTAAATGAAGTTAAGTATATCAAATCTCTATGTCAAACTATCTTATCTCAATCAGGATCACAACATAATTATTTTGTCACAATTGTTACAAGGTGTTTTTTCTCATTTGTTGCAAATTGTCTGTGATACTGATCACATGTTCTGGCAGACTGGTTATGCACGCGATCATTAAGATATACCCGACTGGTTCACAATTAGAAGATTGCTTTTGATGTCACCGACACAAGCCTTTACATAGATCAGTGTATACGTACATGAATACTCTTTTTTATGAACCTTGCGCTTATTTTGTCCTACTTTCATGTTAGAACTGTCTATTGCTTAAGTTTGAATATAATTATGTATGAAGCAGCCAAAATAATAAAGTAATGCCTTGAACATTTATTAATATAAACAACAATGAAACAACATTTTCTCATCTTAATTTTGTGTTATCATGTTTTATGTGAAAATTGGAGGTTTCTTGCTGGTTGTAAAAATGAATATCAGATATTTGTTTACATTGACAACTGTCCGTTTCTTAGAAAGGGGGACAACTAAGATTAGTAGCGATGTCTAAATGCAGTATTTCCAGGATATGTATTTATACTTGGTTGCTGCTCGCCATCATGGCTCGAAGTTGTCCTGGACAATGTCCCTAATGTCCTATTGGCCGCAACCAAGTATTAACCTCTAAATTATACTTCTTTAACTGGTCTACAAAATGTCTACTTTGGTATTTTATTCTGTATAATAATTTAAGTAGCTTATAATGTCTTTGTGGATGACATACATGTATGTTTAACTCCTAAATATAGACAATAAATTTCTTCAGTTAAGTTGTTCTATATTGATCTACCTGTTGTTATTCATAGATTCTGAATCCAAGAACATTCTCTCAAATTCCGTATAAAAATAGTTTTCACTTTTTTTGTTGATTAAAATTCCTGTCTGTCTGTCTGTCTGCCTGTCAGACGATACAGGATCAGAATTTTCTTGTTTTTTAAAAATCCTTAATAATTTACAATTTCAAAGGATATGAGTATGAATTAAAACCACAAAAAGATGAAAGCCACATCATCTTAATATATATATAAAAAAAGTTTAAAACTGGAAATGATGAAACCTGTTCACTGCCTAAAGGCATATGAGAAACACAATCAGTAACAGTTTTCTGCTTTGATGTCCTATAAATACATTAAAAATCAACTCATTTACAGTCCACCTGATGAGGTAAAAGTCATCAATAGTTCAATAATGATTCAATGATAGATATGAGTACATGACTGTTACTGATATATATATATATACACATGATATACTTTTATCTTTCAGTGGGATAATAATTTCTCCACCCCTCGCTGTTTAAACAAACATTTTAACATTCCTATGGGAATGCTCATCATAGACTGATAATGATCATACTTTACAAAATATGGAAACTACGCACTGCTAAAATAAACAACTTTGATAACAGTAAAACATGTCCTTCCTTCTTTAAAACTGTAATCTATATTCTATTATGAAAAAAAAACATTACAGATAAAACCGTATCATAGGCATATGATGTTAGTGGAACGCAGGCAGCACTAACGTTTAATGATCAACTTTATTATTTGTCCAATCACATTGTAGTATTTTTTAAATTTCTTCTAAGTCTAACTTTGGTTAAAGTGTACTTCAACTAAATAAAATTTACTTAATCAGTCGGCTAACGCCTCGGATAACAGTATTTTCCTTTACTGTTACCCACAAACCCATGTGTTATTTATATACATGTACTGTCATTTTAAAACAGAAGACAGTTTTCTTCTCACAGATCTGAAATTCTCATGTAAACATTAAATCTGGCAGAAGACTCTTCTCATGTAAACATTAAATCTGGCAGAAGACTCTTCTCATGTAAACATTAAATCTGGCAGAAGACTCTTCTCATGTAAACATTAAATCGGGCAGAAGACTCTTCTCATGTAAACATTAAATCTGGCAGAAGACTCTTCTCATGTAAACATTAAATCTGGCAGAAGACTCTTCTCATGTAAACATTAAATCTGGCAGAAGACTCTTCTCATGTAAACATTAAATCTGGCAGAAGACTCTTCTCATGTAAACATTAAATCTGGCAGAAGACTCTTCTCATGTAAACATTAAATCTGGCAGAAGACTCTTCTCATGTAAACATTAAATCTGGCAGAAGACTCTTCTCATGTAAACATTAAATCTGGCAGAAGACTCTTCTCATGTAAACATTAAATCTGGCAGAAGACCGACAAACTTGCTGTAATAAACGTGTAATACGCAATAACTCTTATTTCAAGCATTACACACTCAAAGTGTAAAATTCATTTTGAAATCCATAAAATATGTCACATTTACACTAGTCAATCATAAAGCAGCAGTTTTAAGTAGTATAAGATTAAAATCGCCATAAATAATTCACTGTCATTACCATTAAAGAACCAGATACTGTAAGTTACACGCATAAAATATACATCAAGGTCTTTTTATCATTGATGAATTTTAAAGTCATAAGTATTTGCAAGGTAAACAGTAAACAAAACACTACCATATCAAATGGTCAGGAAGAAAACTAAAGTCGACTACAAATGGACAGTACAAGTTTTTCCAAATATTTATGGTTTTACAGTTGTTATCAGCAATAGGGTCAGTCAATTGCCAAAATCAAGATAAAATTTTCACTGTTCTACCCTGACAGATAAACAACATTCCTTACACACATTATAGACAAATAAAATATTCTATGAACTAACTTTTACAATGATCCTATATTCAAATTCTAATGAAATCTTGAAATATCACCTTGACAAAAACTGAGCTTACAACATGTATATGGAGAAGAAGGAAAACATATTTTAGCCTACATGACCTTGACACTACACATTTGACCTAAGTACAGGTCAATAGAAAGTACCAAAATAACAAATATCTAAAGTGCAAAAAGAAATGGTGTGAAAGAGAGAATGATGGAAGGGCAAACCAAGAGAGAATGATTGAAGGGCAAACCAAGAGAGAATGATGGAAGGGCAAACCAAGAGAGAATGATGGAAGGGCAAACCAAGAGAGAATGATGGAAGGGCAAACCAAGAGAGAATGGTGGAAGGGCAAACCAAGAGAGAATGATGGAAGGGCAAACCAAGAGAGAATGATGGAAGGGCAAACCAAGAGAGAATGATGGAAGGGCAAACAAAGAGAGAATGATGGAAGGGCAAACCAAGAGAGAATGATGGACGGGCAAACCAATAGAGAATGATGGAAGGGCAAACAAAGAGAGAATGATGGAAGGGCAAACCAAGAGAGATTGATGGAAGGGCAAACTAAGAGAGACTGATGGAAGGGCAAACCAAGAGAGACTGATGGAAGGGCAAACCAAGAGAGAATGATAGAAGGGCAAACCAAGAGAGAATGGTGGAAGGGCAAACCAAGAGAGAATGATGGAAGGGCAAACCAAGAGAGAATGTTGGAAGGGCAAACAAAGAGAGAATGATGGAAGGGCAAACCAAGAGAGACTGATGGAAGGGCAAACCAAGAGAGAATGATGGAAGGGCAAACCAAGAGAGAATGATTGAAGGGCAAACCAAGAGAGAATGATGGAAGGGCAAACCAAGAGAGAATGATGGAAGGGCAAACAAAGAGAGAATGATGGAAGGGCAAACCAAGAGAGACTGATGGAAGGGCAAACCAAGAGAGAATGATGGAAGGGCAAACCAAGAGAGACTGATGGAAGGGCAAACCAAGAGAGACTGATGGAAGGGCAAACCAAGAGAGACTGATGGAAGGGCAAACCAAGAGAGAATGATGGAAGGGCAAACAGGCAAACACCTGCTTCATGAGATGTTGGCAACATAAAAAACTCAATCTGTTTATATCATTTAAATTTTGATAAGAGGATAAGACAGTGATAAAACTATTCAACACTTGCAAATCAAAGTCCAAACAATGTAAGAGTACAGAAGTAACTTTGCACATGAGTATGCAGCAACAATTATAATTTAACCCTTAGTGAGTGTTTCATCCATACAATCTAACTAGTTTTGCTCTACATTGTTATTTCAATGGTGACATTTCTCAAACTCACAATGGACATTTCCATAGTCATGGTATTAAAAGTACAAATTTGACAGGTTGATGTCATATGGCAACTTGAACACTTAAGTGGTGGAGAAAGACCTCGGGTAGGGTAACCTCCCCCCTCTTCTTCCATAAACTCCTGTATATTATCAAGCAAGACTAGGCACCTGCATAGAACTACCATCCTTCTGTATTAGCAAGCTGGGTACCTTCCAAAGTCCATAATGAGATTCAAATCCACAGACTGTGAGAGGCAAAGATTCAAAGTCGCGCAGGTACTTTAACCATACAGTCAAGGAGACTCCTAGGCAGAGCAAGGATTAAATAAACAACAATTGAAGGTTTGATACAGTTCATTAAATACATGACATTTACAAACTTCCATATCAGATCATATCTACAGACAGTTACCCTCCTACACAAATACCTCATCACTAATTGCTATATATAATGGATTATTAATTGAAAACTTAATAGGACTAAATGATATACTAAAAGTTCTTTATGGGCTAGTGAATATTGTGAAAGTGAAATTTATTACATGAATTATACCAAACACTATATCAGAAAGCAGGGGAATATCACTGTACATTAGTTTTTTTAGGTCCATTTGACAAGAAAATGGACAGAAACGGGTGGCCTTTGAACCTAAACTCTATGAAGGAAAGCAGCATTTATGACAGGACCTTGAAACATGAAATACTTGTTGAATTGCTGAATGCTCTTTATTTTATTTTTTTTACTAACAGTAAAAAGAACTCAA